AGGGTGGAGGGGAGTGAAGGGGGAAAATGGGAGAACTGTAATAGCATAACCAATAAAATATATTTAAAAAACAGATAAAGAAATTAAAAGAGAAAAAAATTAGGCCAATATCCCTGATTCTCATAGATGCAAAACTCCTCAACATAATATTTGAAAATCAAATCAGCAATAATATTATAAAGATCCTACATCATGATCAAGTGAGATTTATTCCTAAGATGCAAGGTTAGTTCAATATCCACAAATCAATCAATGTGAAACACCACATAAACAAAATGGATAAAAATCATATGCCCATATGAATAGATGAAGAATAAGTATTTGATAAAATCCATTTTTTGATAAAAAAAAAACTCTAAGGAAAGTGGAACAGAGGAAATATATCTCAAAATAGTAAAGGCCATTTATAACAAATTCAGAGCTAACGTCATATTCAACAAGGCAAAACTGAAAGCATTTTCCTTAAGATCAGGAACAAGACCAGAATGTCCACTTTCACCACTCTTACGTAATGCAGCAGTGAATGTACAGGCCACAGCAAGGCTGCATTATCAAAACACATGGTACTATCATAAAAAATGGACACATGGATCAATGGAATAGAATGGAGAGCCCAGAAATAAACCCATACCTATATGGTCAATTAATACATTCCAAAAGAGGCAAGAACATACAATGGGGGTAAAGACAGTCTATTTAATAAATGGTCTTGGGAGAACAGGACAGATATATGCAAAAAATGAAACTAGATCATCAACTTACACAACATACAAAATAAATTCAAAATGGACAAAAGACCTAAATGTAATAGTGAAAATCATAAAACTCTTAGAAGAAAATATGGGCAGTAAAATCCCTGACATTTCTTTGAGCAATCTTTTTGATACATATCTTTGGATAAGGGAAACAAAAACAAAATAAATAAATGGGAGTATATAAAATGTTTTTGCACATCAACAAAATCAAAAGACAACCTATTGAATGGAAGAGGATATTTGCCAATGACACATCAGATATGGGGTTGCTATCTAAAATTTATAAAGAATTTACACAACTTAATACCAAAAACACAAACAATCTGGTAGAGAAAAAAACAACAAATGCCTTGGTCAGGGTGGCTCAGGTGGTTGGAGCATCATCCTGTATTCAAAAGGTTGTGGGTTAGATTCCCAGCCAGGGCATGTACTTAGGCTGCAGGTTCAGTCCTGGATCTGGGTATATGGGATCCCTCGATGTGAAAGATCCCCAGTCTGTGTGAATACACCATGCTACCAATCAATGCTTCTCTCTTGTATCAATGTTTCCCTCTCTCCCTCCCTTTCTCCTTTCACCTCTCTCCAAATAAATAAATGAAAAAATGTCTTCAGGTGAGGATTAAAAAAACCGAGCACAGAACCTATACAGACATTACTCCAAAGAGGACATACAGATGTCCAATAGACATATGAAAAGATGCTCAAGGTCACTAATCATCAGAGAAATTCACGTTAAAACCGCAATGAGATATCACCTCACGCCTGTCAGAATGGCTGTCATTAATAAATCAGCAAACATGTGTTGGCATAGATGTGGAGACTGAGGGGAAAAGGCTGCCAATTTCTGTCATATCTTCTTATGCCTTATCAAAGGCACTATTGTTATATTGATACTACTCTGGAGGATTGTTCCTAGAATTTTAATCTGATTAGTAGAAGTGATTTCCTGGATTAGAAAAGAACATACTAAACAAGTTCCGTAAGCATGTTTTGATGTAATTAAAATGACCTATTATACAGAATCTTGAAATATATATGATTAATTCTCATCTGGACTAGAAGCTTGATTTAAATTTACCAGAATACAAAACATGCTTGGCAATTATTAAAGCTTAATTTTCCAAATTATGCCAAAACTTTTAATAAGAGATTCTCCACTGATAAGGTACAGTAGGAAGTAGTGCAGAAATGTAAGAGTCTTTACGTCGAGAGCCTTCATGCAGAAGCTGAAGACAGACTACAAGGGCATCTGACAAGTGGTAGTCACCTTCTGTGTGTGTGTGTAACTCTCCCTCCCTCATCCATCACTTCAAAGACCCATGGTGTTCCTACTTTACTGCCTTCCCTCCCCCATTCACAGTAATTAAACACAAGTCATTTTATATTAAATGAAAGAATTTCAATCAATGTACTAAGTCAATCATTTATATTTTAAGCTCTAGTTACACACAGTGGTCCTATTAAATTGATTTCAACTACCAGGAAACCATGTTGAGGACAACTTTTTAAATAGCAAGGAATTCTGGAACCACACTACAGGTAAGGTTGGCCTAGAAGGTTAACCTGATTTATTCCTTTTACCTAGAATAATTGCAGAGGGCTTAGAAGGGCATGCATCCACTTTTGCTTTCCCAATTGTGTCCCAATTGTGGAGGCTAGCCCTATTATGAAAGTGATGCCTACTTCTTGAGTAGTTTAATTTAACTTTACATTTCATGTAAGCCACACATAGATGACATGACATATCAGAATTATTAATAACAATATTCCAGAAAAGAAATGTGGGAACATTATTGCTGCAAACGCAATATTTTATTTTTTAAAAGATTTTACTTATTTATTTTTAGAGAGAGAGGAAGGGAAGGAGAAAGAGACACATCAGTCAGTTGCCTCCTACACGTCCCCTACAGGGTTATCTGGCCCAAAACCCAGGCATGGGTTTTGACCTGGAATCAAACCAGCAATCTTTCAGTCCACGAGGTGGTGCCCAAACCACTGAGCCACACCGGTCAGGGTGATAGGAGCAACACTTAAATACAGTATAAAGCAACAGTGCCCATAGTCCTATACTGTCATATACGGAAAATGACTTCGGTAGAATCTCAAATGTCTGCTGTACATGAGAGAGCTGAAATGGAACCATCAAAGACATTTGGGGGAAAAAATACAGATGTTATACACTGTAAAATAATGCTTCAAACTCTCGGCAACCACAGTAGTTAAAGAACCAAACTGGCTCACCAGTATTTAGGCAAACTAGTAGGAACATACCTATTTGGGAAACCAACTTTTAATGTTTAAGGTGTTATTTGTAGGCACTAGTTTGGCTCACTAATATAATTACTGAAGTAAATATATGACCACTTTAATAAAATAAGCCTTAAAATTCACCTTGTTTTTGCTTCCTTTTCAGAGGCACTTATGATTAGTCTAGCTGGAACCTTTCATATCACAATTAAACAAAGTTCATGTCCTCCCAGATACTGGTATCAGCAATTTTACAGTCCTGTATCCAAATATGATAGCATCTTTTTGCAGAATCCACTTTACCCTTCTGTGCTAAGATTCTTACCATTATTAAAAATATAGGTTAACCTTATCACCCTTCAAAAGATATATTGTAAATGAAATGATAAATGATTTAAAAAATTAAAAGAGAGTGCAATAGCCACACAAATTTTTCACAGACTTGTGGCTAGAAATTTAATAGACTATTTTTTTAAACAACATGAATATAAAGAGAAATAAGACAGTTCAAAAATAGTAACTAAATGTAAACTAGGAATATAAAATATACACTTATATTTAGTATTTAAATGTTTAACTCTAGAGTGTGTTTTTTTAAAATCACCTTAAGCATTTGTGAATAATGTGGATAAAAAAAGGCATTCAATGGAAAATAGTATGTATCATAGAGTAAAATGATAATAAGTTCCTAACTGGGCAGATTTCAGTGGGTAGTCATACCCTGGGCTTATAACTGTAGTGAAAGGTTTACTTTTGCTTTAAGCAAGCCCTGCCCATTGTTACTGTGCACTTAGGTTAACACACCTTTGAACTGCTCTCTTTTCAGACCCCTCAAGAGAGCACATAATCTTAACTACTCTGCAATCCCCTCCCCAAGTTCCTTCCTGCCACCTTCATGTAATCTTCCTTAAGTTCCCTACATAATTTCAAATACATAAAAGAAATTGCAAACTGTTATTCTTGGGAGCATTTATCTCAGTCTGTAGAGATCTTACTTTCAGTTGTATCCTCTGCTTGGCTCAAATAAAATTTAAAAAATATATATTGTTTTCATATGTTTGTTGATTTTAGAGAGACAGGGAGAAAGAGAAAGAAAGAAGCATCAATGTGGTGGGAGAGAAGCATTGACTGGCTGACTCATAAGGCACCCCATTAGGGATCAAACACAAAACCTAGGTACGCAATCTGACCAGGAATCAAACCCCCAATCTTTTGATGTATGGGACAATGCTCCAACCAACTGAGCCACCCTGGGCAGGGCTCAAATGCATTTTTATAAAAATTCTCAAATGCATTTTTATAAAAATTGTTTATATTTTATTGTCTTACATTGACAATAACTATTCCAAATTCTCCGTGAACAGCTTCCTAATACACCAAGTCAAAACCATTTTACTTGGCTTAAAAAAGACTGCAGTAAACACTGCAGGAACTACGATTCTTATTCTCAAGATAATATAATGTGGATAAGCAGTATACATATGGAATAGCTATGGAGTAATATAAAAATGTTTATGGCTGGGTGTGATATGACCAGGTTAGACTGTCACAAAACTCTGAGAAAGGAAAGTCACTCTGAGAGGGGTTGGGCAGGAGCCTGCCCTCAAAGCCAGAGCAGGATTTGGATTTTATATAAGAAATACCATGCCTATGCCAGAGTTCAAGTACAAGGTATTTGTGAAAAGTAAAGACAGAGATAAAATGGGAAAAGTAAGATGGTACAGACTACAAAGATTCTGCAATGCCAAGCTGAGTCCTGTAGACATGAATGATTCTATGTTTCAATGCAATGATAGGAGAGATGATGAAAACAGCAACTGAAAACAATTTCGTCTGCTAATCATGATCACAATGAATAAAGTAGGATAAGGCTGGAGGCTAACCCTGTCAAGAGGAACAAGCCCCAGATGTCAGAAGAATGTAGGGAGTAGGAGTGGAGAAGAAAATGAAAATCAAATGCAGTAAAGGTTAGTGAAAAATCTGTTTTGAAGTTATTACCCAGAAAAATCCTCTTGATGCATGGTGATGATTATGGCCTCTATAGCATCTGCCACTGAAGTCAGTAAGGGCTGCACCGCATTTCCCATTAGAACATGGATCGTCTGAAAAGAAGAAAAAAGGAAGTACAGGCAAAATTAAAGACTAACAAAGAAATATGAGAAGCATTTTGACTAAAAGTTTTTATATCATGTCAAATTCAAACTATATACAGTTTAACTGTAATAACTCAACAGAAGTCCGGTACTCTTCCTACCTGCTGTCAAAAACGACTTTTAAAGTTTACATTTGTAGATGGCACTAAAAAATTTTAACTTCCCACTCCTCTCATATTTTCAAAAGTTTAATAGTCAAATGAGCCCCTGGAAAAAGGAAAAAGAGAGGAGTAGTGCTACTATGAAGTAAAGATCAAATGAACACATCTTTTTTTAAACTTCTGAGGAATGAGTTAAGACCAAAACTGATTCTGCACAACTGGAACGACATCATATGCTTGTAACCAGAGTGAATATAATATAGTGGTGATTCTTATAGGGCAGAACAGTTAAAGACTTCCTGAATTAGGTTTCAATTTAGAATTTCACAGTAGTGATTCTCAACTGGGGAAAATTTTGTTTCCTCATCTGAAAATGTCTGGAGACACTTTTTGATTGTTAGAACTGGGGAGTGTGAGGGTTTTACTTTTAGCATCTAGTGGGTAGAGGATGGAGATGCTGCTAGACATCCTACGGGACAATCCCCATAACAAAGAACTAAAATGTCAACAGTGCTAAGACTGAGAAACTATTCTACAGTGAGGTATAATGATTGGTTAGGTTATGTAAGACTGTAGGTCTTAGTTAAGGGTTTCAATAATGATTATACACAGAATGAAGATGGATGGCTTTGGCTCCTACAAATGATTTCAACCAAAGAGAAAAGTTTAAATAAGACCCTTATTCATTAAATTCCTAAGTGTCATCTCTAGGCCTTGAGGAGCTCACAATCCAGTGACAACAGAAAACGAGTTATAGTGATTATCAGTGCTCTACAAAGTGCTGATAAAAGAGACCTCCAACTCATAGTGAGAGAATGTGAAAAACAAAAGTGTTCCTTGAACTTAATTTCGAAGGACAAATAGGTTAAGAACCACTTGGCACAGGGTGGGGATAGGAGAGCTTACGCTAAAGGCAGAGGAGCCTGGGATAGCTGATGCATTTGGGGAACTGCATGCAGTAAACACAGATCCCGTGAGGTGCCTACCTAGGTGGAAGAGAGCCAGGCAGCAGACATACTCTGTGTAGGATGCTACAGAGTTGGGAGTTTATCCCGATGGTCGAGGGAAACCAATGATGGGTTGTAAGCAATGGAAAAAAGTGGTTAAAGGTTTGAATTTGGGAAAAACCCTTGTGAATTGAGACAGGATATGTCAGACTAAAGGCAGGAGGTCTCAGTGGCTATATAAATGCAAAAACGGTGGGCACCTGAACCAAATCAGAGGCAGAAGAAATAGGGATGAGAAGATAGGATGGAAGACACTTTGAAAAGAGAATCAAATTTCCATTTGTTTTCTTTCATATTTTTAATTATTATAATGAGATTTCCTACTATTTTTCTATTATTAGAACTTTTTTCTTTACCTCATTGATGTTCTTGCCTGATAAGTATAGAGTCAGGTCATCTCAGGGTAGACACATTACCAGACAGGGGCCTGGCCCTGAGAGGGGCTGCCTAGGGCCAGCTGTAGTGTGTGGGTTTTTGACTTCTGTAGGAAAGATTTCACAACACAAGTCCAGGTGACTATGAGGACACATTTATTAAAGATGGGGACAGTAAGACAAGGAAAGGCTTGGCATAGAAAAAGCAACAGGAGAGCCTAGGCTGGGCTGCCTTAGCTCACTGGGCAGTCAGAGAAAAGGGGGATTTGGGGAGAGGTTCTGGGGATTGACCTGGGACGAGCTGCCAGCTGCCCTTTGAGAAGTGTGCCTGTGAAGAAAAAAGTCGGGGAAGACAGCAGAAAAAGGAATGGCAGGGGTTGCTCCCCAGAGGGAGAGTACACAGTGTCCTTTGTCTTCAGGCTTTTTCTCTTCTTGCAGGTGGGAATCCTAGGGGATGACTCAGGGGGAGGGTTTCAACAGAATATTTATCACTTCTCCAGATGTGTCCTTTCAGGGTCATGGTCTCCTGATTGGTCAGTCACAGGGCAGGGGTTCTTTAGTCATTGCAGTTGGTCCTGGCACTGCCCACCTGGTTCTGCTGCTTTTCTGGGCCTGGAGCTTAAATACAACCGAGGCCTAGATGTTACCTCCAGGGAGGAGAGGCCAAGGGAGGAGAAGTTATCCTGGGGGTGAGGTTCTTGTTTTCCCAGTCCTGCCCCCTGCCAGGCACTGGGGGCCTTCTACCCTGATGATGATGTGTACGTGACTGTTACAAAATTTTTCCACTGAGTAAGAAAGTCAAATCAGCCACAAAGGGGGCAAAAACAGGATTTTACTGGGGTTGTGCTTCCAGGAGAGATTCTCTGGTCCAGAGTAGGGGGGCCAGAGAAGTCGTGGCCTGGAGTAGAGCTGGGAGTAGGTATTTTTTATACATCTGGGTGGGGTAGGCTTGCCATGTTTTATGCAGATTGGGTGCTGTAGTCTTTGTGGCACACTGAGAATGGCTGACCACTTAGGAAGATTTTGGTGGTTGCTTAGCTTGCAGTTTTCTTTGGCGCCTGCCATGGGCATTAACCCTTTCATATCCTGTCCAATCCAACAACTGTAAATTGCTCCTCCATTGTGTTGAGCTGTCAGCCTCAGCTTCCCTATTCCACTTTCCAAGGAATTTTTCTAGCTTCTCACTATCCTGTCTCAGACAGATGTTGATTATCTTTTCCCATGAGAATGACACCATTTTCTAGCTTTTTGTATATGTAGTGATTTTTAATATATTCTGGATATTGCATACACAGTATTTTAAAATATTGCTCCTAAGAGTGTTGATGTTTCTTTAGCAGTTCATTAGCTTGATTAGACCCAGTTCATACACTGACACACCTGTAGTTGCCCATGCCTTACATCTCAATTCAGTTCTTTAAGACTTACTTACAAAAATCACTTTTCATTTGTTCTGTACGTGCATGGTTGATGAGTCAAATTAAGACTAGTGGTGAGCTGGAACAGAGAACCAGATATTTCTCTCCCCTGGCTCTCTCCTTTCTGTGGTTTGCCTATCACTTTCCAGCAGCTCTTTCCCCTTGTTCCTATGACCTGAAAATCTGCAGGTTTTGTTTTGTTTTTTTCTCCAAGTTTGAGCCAACCAGCCTTGCCTCTCCCGTGACTGTAGTCACTCTTAGAGCCGAGTCACAAAAACAAAAAACGGAAAACACACTCTCCATGTTGCCTGCTCTAGATCTCACACCCTCTAAAACTATCTGCTTCTCTTTCACCTCCACAGCCCTCCAACAGACTTTTTGTTTGTTTCATTTTGGGTATTTTTTTCCATACTTATTTGTAAGAGGATGTGTAGTTAGTACTCACTCCTTTATACCACAGTAGGAAACCAACCCTTCTTCTTCTTTTTTTTTTTTAAAGATTCTATTTATTTATTTTTGGAGGGGAGGGAGAAAGAGAGAGAGAGAAACACCAATGTGCAGTTGCTGGGGGTCATGGCCTGCAACCCAGGCATGTACCCTGACTGGGAATCAAACCTGCAACACTTTGGTTCGCAGCCCGCACTCAATCCACAGAGCTATGCCAGCCAGGGACCAATCGTTCTTCTTGAAATCTTATCTGTTTATTTCTATCATGCTCTAAAGGAAATTGACAACTTTAAATGTTTATTTTGGGGAAGAAGAGGTCTAAAAATCAATGTTATATGGTCTCAAAATTATTTTTTTAAAAAGTCAGAGAAAATACAAAGTAATCAGAAGGAAATAAAAAAGACAAAAATAGAAACCAATGAAATAGGAACATAAACAATAGAGAAAATTAATAAAGCCAAAAGTTGGTTCTTTGAAAAGATCAATGAAATTGATAAACCCCTTATATACTAATGAAGAAAAAAAGGAGAGTACAAATCAATATAAAAAGTGAAAAAGAGGTTATCACTATAGGTCCTAAAGACATCAAAAGGACTATGAGAATATCATGTCCATAATTCTGATCATTAGAGAACTTAGAAGAATATACAAACATCTAGAAAGTCACAAAGTATGAAAGCTCACTCAATAGATAATCTGAATAACTCTTTATCTATTAAACAAATTAAATGTGTAGTCATAAACTTTCTATTGCTACAAAGAAAACTACAGAACTAGATGGCTTTACTGGTGAATTCTACTACGTATTTAAAGGATGAAACAGTACAAATTCTACACAAATTCTTCCAGAAAACAGAAGAGGGGGGAAACATTTCCAAACCTAATTAGTGAGGCCAGTATTACCTTTATATGAAAACCAAACAAAGAATTTCAAGAAAACTATAAACCAATAACCCTTATGATTATAGATACAAACATCTTTCATAAAAATTAGGTAAATCAAATCCAGGAATACATAAAAAGGGTAATACATCATGACCAAGGTTGGTTGGATATTTGAAAATAAGTTCCTGTATTTTATTAACAGAATAAAGGAGTAAAAACATATGATCACTTCAGTAGATACAGAAAAAGCTACTCACTGAAACAATACCATTTACAATAAAAAAAGTTTCAGTAAACTAAAAATAGAAGGAATCTTGCTTACTCTGATAAACACTATCTAAAAAACCCCTACAGCTAACCTCATACCTCACACAGCCCAACACTGAATGCTGCCCCCGTCGGCAAGGTCCACTCTCGCTAGCCCCAGTGAAGACTGTACTGGAGGCCATGGCCAGTGAAACAAGGCATTAAAAAGCAGGCATAAAGGCCAGAAAGCAAGAAATAAAACTGTCTCTGTTTGCATGTAATATGATGGTTTACCCAGAAAACTTTATAGCTGGATGAAGGGTCCCACTCAGAGAAAATATAAAGCAAAAAGAGAAGAGGGCACCTTGGGGATGCCTTCATTTTGAGGACGGTTAGAGGATTAATAACTATCAGAGGAAACTGAGGAAGGAGACTAACTTACATTTTAGAAGCTCTTTACAAAGCAGGGAATTGTGTCATACATTTTTAAAAGATTTACCTAAAATAATTAACAGTACAAAAATATTGAAGCCTCAGCAATCTGGAATATTCAATCATACAGAACATCAAACCTTCACAATAAGGGAGAAATGAAGAGTTGTCATATTTAAACTTAGTAATATAATCCCTATGTATACCTGATAATCACAGTAATAAATGGATCAGAATTACTGGGCCAAGGTGTTTAAATGGTACTAATAGCCAAGGGGGTTATAAAGAAATGACATCAAGTGCATACTCAGTAACTATGCAATTCATGACACATCGAATAATGCTTGTAACACAAGATGTTGAGCTTTAAGCCTAAAGTAACCTTTATTTTTAGGAAAAAATCTCAACATGATAGAGAAGAAAAGACTATCAGGTGTCTTTACCTATATTTTCAGTAAATAAGTAAGTTTAATATCTTCTCTATTAAATGATAAAAACATACAAATTTTCGGTTCTTGGGCTGCTGTCATTTAGGCATCATATCATTTTGTTCGTAATTCAAAGTGATGTAGTAAGTTTCCTACAATTTTATGAAGTGAATTTTTATGAAACTCTTTTTTTAAAGTCAGTGGGTTTTGTTAGTTTTTTTACTTACTATATCAATGAATTTTAAGATTTAACTGAAAAGCAAGGTAAAACTTTCATTGATAAGCAATTAAGTCTCTTACTGTCAGGGCCACTGCAAGATGGCCTTGAACTAACTGCTAATCTTCTCTGACCCAGTTCTCAAAGGCAAAACTGGTGCTACTTCAGCAAAGCACAGTACCCAAGCACATGAGACACTGGTTCTGGTGGGCAAACCTCAGAGTGAGGGCTGGAGCCTAAGATCAAGGCAATTTCCCTGCACTGACCTCAATTTCCAACCCAAAGTGATTAATACTAGGAACAACCTTTGTTGTATGTTATGATACAGATTCAGAGAATCCACCCTATACTGAATTAGTCTCTGACAAATTTCCATTTTTAACTTGTCTAGGAAGTTTTAATCATCAGGCAAAATGTAGATACTCTGTCTTAACGTATAGAATAACTTCCTTAAAATATGAGTTGTGATCATTAGGGGCCAAATAATCTGTTTAGTGAATCACTATCAGAATATTTTATTTTTTATTTTTAGATTTTATTTATTTTTAGAGAGAGGGGAAGGGAAGGAGAAAGAGGGAAACATCAATGTGTGGTTGCCTCTTGTGCGCGCCCTACTGGGGACCCAGCCCACAACCTAGGTATGTGCCTGCACTCAATCCACTGAGCTACACCAGCCAGGGCAGAATGTTTTAAAAAGTAATATGTGAGTATGGAAAATAACACAGTCTCTTGCAAAAAATAAGACAAAGTATTTGTTTTGTGAAACCTTCATTTTAATTATGGAAATGTGCACAGATGTATAGTCTATATATATACAATTACCTGTGTGCGCACGCGTTTTTAAATGCATATGTATTATGTATGGGGTGACAAAGTAAAATTTATCTTGGGTAGTAATCAAAAAATGTTTGACAGCTATTGCTAGAACATAAGGAAAAAACGTGGAACTATAGAAAAGAAAATTGCATATATTTCCTGTTTGAGAGCAAGAATATTAAGACCCTTTGGTTTGTCATACTCACCTGATTTTATAGTGTTTTCATTTTTTTATGTTCATCAATAAATTAGACAATTCTTACTGAAGGTAATTACTTAATTGTGGCAGTTTTAATAATATTTTATCATCACAAGATGAGCACAGTGGGCAAAGGAAAAAGATAGGGAAAACATCCAAGAACACTTTCCATATGTTGGGGGAACACAGACCATCTCCTCTTACCCTCATATCTGAATTTAGTGTCCTTAAGTTTTGGGGCCCATTAAACCCCCACCAAGGTCACTTATGGACAGTATTTGACCTCAGAAGTTCCCTTTTCCTTTAAGATTTTTGACACTGTCCTCTCCCAATTTTCCTTCTTACTCTCTTTCATTGTGTGCTCTTTACTCTCTGAATATAAATGTTTCTCACTAGAGTTTATTGGTGGTCTCTCTGTGTGTGTCTCTGTCTCTCTGTCTCTTTATAACTCTACCCAAGTGATTTAAATCCAATCTAAATATAAACTTAGCAATATAATCATAGTTGACATGAATTATCTTTGTGTTGGTATATTATACCATTTTATAGATGGAAATCAAGGCAAGTGAAAACTTATTAACTTGTCTGAAGGTGATACAGCTAGTTAACAGTTAAAATAAGATGCATATAAAGGTCATTTGGCTCCACAGTCTTTACCATATGGTCTTACTTATTTAGTAAATGAATGAATGAATGAATGATAGTGCCAAAGCACAGTAGACATGACTCTTTTGAGTCAGTGAGGTCTGGGTTTACCAGCTACAGTGACTTTGAGCAAGTTATTATTTGTAAGTTCTATAAAATGGGAATAAAAATACACAAATTTTGTACTTCCGTTGCTGTAATGTTTCAACAGATTGCATGTGACTGGCAAGTAGCAGATGTTAAAGGATATCTATTACTATCATAAGACTGAATGATTTGCTTTTTTAAAAAAGGGTTACTAATGTAAACTACATATGACTCAGAATCTCATATCAACATTATTCTTCATTAAATTTCCTTGTAGTAGAAAGGGGGAATATTTATGTTAATTTATTTTAAAAAGAGGGGGAGGGAATTTACCCTGGTTTCACACCTTATAGACACACACTAGAGTTTCTCAGCCTTGGCACTATTGACCTCTGGGCTCCATAATTCATTGTTGTAGGAGCTGTCCTCTCCACTGCAGAATGTGTCACAGCACCCCTGGCACCAGAAGCACTCCTCTCCCTTCAGAAACTGTTAAATCAACCTGGTGGAGAAGCACTGCTTTACTAGGATAATCCTGGGCTCTGTTGCCTTAAAATACAGTGAATTTTTTTGCTTCTCTTGCTTATTGTACAATTATTGTAAGTAGAATACAATCTGTAGACCAACAGAGTCTATTTTTAAATTCTAGAAAATACTAGAAAACATACATGTATCTTCCTCTTTAGGATAAATATCAACATTCTACCTTTGGTATACGTAAAGGATTCTGAATTATTTTTAAAATGTGATATCTCCCACCCATCCAAACAAATAATTCTAAAATCCACTTTGATCTACAGACTCAAAGATTAAATTAAATTATTTTACCTTTAGTGCTGAAATTATAGTTTGCTCAGCTGCTGGTGGGAATGAGCTCTGAGTGGAAACCACCTAAAACAAAGTTTTGATCTGGTTATACTTTTGCTTAAGCTATCTATTTTTATAAATACTAATTTTGACCATAATATGATAAAGCTATTTCCACAAGCCACATATAAAACAGTATCATTATTTTAAAGCATCTCATAAATGTCTTAAAAACTCATTAGTATTTATTGGTTAAACAGTTGAAAATATCTTCTTATATCAAGCAAACATATACTTAAATAATCAAATGTTAAGAATTCTTGACCCTAGCTGGTGTGGCTCAGTGGACTGAGCACTGACCTGAAAACCAAAGGGTTACCAGTTCGATTCCCAGTCAGGGAACATGACTGGGTTGCAGGCTGGGTCTCCAGTAGGAGGGGTGCACAAGAGGCAACCACACATTGATGTTTCTCTCCCTTTCTCCTTCCCTTCCCCTCTCTCTAAAAATAAATAAATAAAATCTTTTAAAAAAGAATGTTAAGAGCTAGCTTCCTTTTATTCACTCTACATAGATTTTAATGATAAAGTTTCAACTTGGAAAGGTCAGTCTAAAGCCATATTTACATATTTCTTTTAAAAAATTAACTTTTCTAGGTGACTGTAATTTTCAACATTTAAAAAATACAAATGTCAAACATTTCCCTTTTTACAAATCAATACAAACATTATGAAAATTGTGAAAGTATCAATAGAGACATTTAAATCAGGTTAAATAAACACCACCTTTCATTGTTCAAGGTGCTTTGGGCTAATAAAGAAAATGGAAAATACATCGTTCATTGTTTTTATTTATTTTTGTTTGCTATTTATTTTTCTGAGATTCACTTGATAACAGCTATTTATTTATTTATTTATTTATTTATTTATTTATTTATTTATTTAGAAAGGGGAAGGGAAGGAGAAAGAGAAGGAGAGAAACATCAATGTGTGGTTGCCTCCCATACTTCCCCTACTGCGGACCTGGTCAGCAACCCAGACATGTGCCCTGACTCGGAATCAAACTGGTGACCCCTTGGTTCACAGGCCACCACTCAATCCACTGAGCCACACCAGTGAGGGCTAATAATAACTCTTTAAAGTATATTTTGCTTAATGTGTGAAATGTATATTTTTAGAAACCCCTACTTGATAAAAGGACTTGTTAAAAAGTTTAGTAAGTAAATAATAGTCACATAATTTCTCTAAAATACATTTTAGCATATTAAATCTCATGTTAGAGGTGAAATTTTAAGAGCATTATCTAACCTTTAGCAATATTCAGGCTTCTAAATATTTATCTCCCCACCTTCTAAATACTTTGAAGACGATTTATAGAGAGAAATCACAAGCTACTCAAAGGTCAAAGATGGGCTGAAAGTGCTTTCCTAGTAATTATGAATACTGTTCATCTTAGACCTAATACACCAAGGCAAACAAGTTAAAGTTCAGTCATTTTTTTAAACTGTCAAGAAGAATATATATATATTGTAAAATAGTCATCAGTGATTATATTATAACAATTCAGTTTTAATGAAGCTCCTCTCATTTTTAGTGCAAAAATGGAAGCTTTTTGACATGTTGGAGGGCTTAGAGTTCTCACTATAATTAGCTTTGCTATAATTTACTACCAACCACATGATACCATATTATGCTTTTTAATGGGAATGAAACAGATGATTTACCCTTAAATCATTTGTTTAATGAAATTGATTATAGCAACCAAACTTGAGAATCTACAGTTCACGTGTTTTAAACTAAATGTATAGACAAAAAGTCAAACAGTAAAGGCCAGGGTCAAACACTATAAACAGTTAATTCCTCAGCTTATTTTACAATCATGTTTTCACTATAATCTTTTGCAAAATTAAATAACTCATAAACTGTCTAACTTTGAGACAAGAAGAAACAAAAACTTGAAATTAAGACAAATGAATGTGAAATACTGATAAAGGTTACCTTGGTTACTGACTGGTGCAACCTAAACAGGGAATTCACGACTGCCACATTTCTTCTCTGCCCTTCAGTAAGAGGCCCAATGACCTGACTGGCATCTCCTTGTGTGGACAGCTGTAAGATATCAACACAAAAAGACATTACTAAAATGATAGTCCATATTTAACTGGGGGGAGGGAACCACTGCCCCTCTGATAGAATGTTAACTGAAAATATTCAAGTCAAGCTTTGGACTGTAGGCACTGCAGGAACCTCTGTAGAGGTAAGACCACGGATATGGAAACAAGTTTGCACAGGAGGAACATCCTTCATCAGTATATCATCGCTGATGGACTCCTGAGGCAGGTGTGACCCAAAAGCACAGGAAGGGTTGATATTTTGATACAACAGCACAGTTCTCCTAGGGAATACTTTCTGGCAACTGTCAAGGAAGAAGGGATGGAGGAGAGAACAAAAATAAACGGATATCCTACGCACATTTGGTTGCCATCATACTATTCCCATGAAATTAGTGGTAAAAAGGGTATTCCTCTTATTTTTTATGTTGACAGATTAAGAACAATTTAGAAAGGAAGTTACCTAAGATTATAATGAGTATGGATGATTAAAAGTGGTATTAGAACTTTCTACTCCTGACCTTTAATTTACTTTTTAAAATATATATTTTACTGATTATGCTATTACAGTTGTCCCATTTTCCCCTCTCCATCCCCCTCCACCCTGCACACCCTCTCTCACCTACATCCCACCCCTTTAGTTCATGTCCAGGTGTCATAAGTTCTTTAGCTTCTACATTTCCCATACTATTCTTGCCCTCCCCTGTTTATTTTCTACCTACCACCTATGCTACTTATTCTCTGTACCTTTTCCCCCTCTCTCCTCCCACTCCCCTGTTACTAACCCTCCATGTGATCTCCATTTCTGTGGTTCTATTCCTGTTCCAGTTGATTGCTTAGTTTCATTTTGTTTTTGTTTTAGGTGTGGTTGTTAATAATTGTGAGTTTGCTGTCATTTGACTATACATGTTTTTTATCCTCTTTTTCTTAGATAAGTCTCTTTAATATTTCATATAATAAGGGCTTGGTGATGATAAACTCCTTGAACTTGACCTTATCTGAGAAGCACTTTATCTGCCCCTCCATTCTAAATGATTTCTTTGCTGCATAGAGCAATCTGGGGTGTAGGTCCTTGTCTTTCATGATTTGGAATATTTCTTTCCAGCCCCTTCTTGCCTGTAAGGTCTCTTTTGAGAAATCAGCTGACAGTCTGATGGGAACTCCTTTATAGGTTACTGTCCCCTTAACTCTTGCTGCTTCTAGGATTCTCTCCTTCATTTTACTCTTGGGTAATGTAATTATGATGTGCCTTGGTGTGTTCCTCCTTGGGTCCAACTTCTTTGGAACTCTCTGAGCTTCCTGGACTTCCTGGAAGTCTATTTCCTTTATATAATTTAGCCATCTTAATTTCAGTTTTCACAAGGTTCTCAGGGCTTCTGTCAGTAACTTTGAAGTCTGGGGATTCTTCTTTCTATACATTTTTAAACACAGCTTTATTAAAATATAAGTCACTCATTTAAAATATACAGTGTAATGGTTTTTAGTATATTCATAATCAAAATTGTAACATTTCATCACCACAGCAACAGAATCTCCTACTTAGCAATCTGGCCATGACTTATCATATCCCCTTTCTACCCGTCCTTCACTAATCTACTTTCTGTCTCTTTGAATTTGCTTATTCTGAATTTTCATATAAATGTAATCATTTAATATGTAGCCTTTTGTGCCTGGCTTCATTTGCTTACAATGTTTTCAAGGTTCATTCATGTTATAGCATGTATCAGAGCTTCATTCCTTCATTCCTTTATTCCTTTATGTATTTATTGCTGGGTTATGCTCCATTGTATGGACATGCTACATTTTATTTATCCATTCATTAATTAGTTAACATTGGTTTTTGAAAATTTGTTGGTTATTATGTATAATGCTGCTGTGAACATTTGTGTACAGGTTTTTGTGTGGACGTGTGTTATCATTTATCTTGTATGTTTAACTAGGTATTGAATTGCTGGGTTATGTCCTGTTGTATTTGTCTTTGAGGAATGGCCAGACGGTGTTCCAAGGTAGTTACCTCATTTTACGTTCCTAAATGGCTTTGTTTACGTTCCTACGGCTTTGTTTCTTCACATCCTGGCCAGCTTTGTTATTATCTGTCTTTTTGATTATAGCATTCCAATGATTATGAAATAGGCCTTTTCTATGCTTTTAACACCTAAAAATATGATCAGTCTTCAGTAATAAGATGATCTCCACCCTCTTGTAGCAGCCAGCCTTTTTCTTCTTTAAATACAGAATACATAAAATAAATGGAAATAAGGTAACAAAAAAATTCTTTCCCTTTTCCATTTCTTTGGTAGTTCTTCATAATTGGAGAAAATCTCAAGAAGTAAGGGAGATCAGTTTTTTTTTTTTCATTGTACATCTAGAACTGATAACTTTTTGTTTTGGTTTGTTTTCCCTCTGTTTTAGAACTGATAACTTTTAAATGCCCATTAAATGCAATTGTACTTGGCATCTGACCCTTATGTCTGCTGTAATCACAGATGCCACTGCCCATGGCCACTGTGATCTCTACAGTAGCTTCTTCAGGAGCCTTTCCCCACCTTTATTCCAGCACGTAGCCTGCATCATCTGCTGTTCCTTGGGAGCTCAGAGCTTATGTTATATTAGTGCCAGTTTACCATTTAAAAGTTAAACTGGATTTTGTGGGCTCTTCTGAGAATCTAATAATTAATTTTTGACATAAATGCCGTAAGGACACTATGGCTTTTTTCAGACTGCTAACTTTACAAATGATCATTTAGAATGCAGCTTGATTGCAAGTTGGTGACTATGTCCATTAGGAAAGGTGAAATTAAATTAGATTTGTTTAACATGGTGTCAAAAATCCTTATGTTGAATTAATAGCCATTATCATGGGTTGGAACTTCAACAAAAGATTATTCCTTTTATTTTAATTGCAATTTTAAATTTTTAGTAGTATTTTATTATGATAAGTAGGAATTGATAAAGTGGTAATTGAGTTTAATTTTGAAAATATATGTATGTTTATAAAAGGAAAGATGAAAGAAAAATAGTATTTCCTTTTCTACCAATTTATTTGGCTCACTATTAGTAATTCTAAAAGGCCAGTTTTCCATGTTTGAGATCTGTATCCACATTCATAGAGTTACTTTCACCATATGTTATTTGTTTTGATCAAGTTTAATTACCTTTAAATAATAATTGTTATAGAGGAATGGATTAAAATCTGATCAATATGAGAAAGATTTATATGTGGATTATTTTCCTTAAATTGAACTACAATTGTTTTAGTTTAACTCAATAAAACTTTCCATGTCCTGTTCCCTAAAACTCCTTCATTTAGAAGTAAATTAGACTTCTGGCCAAGATGGACATATAGGTAGACACACTGTGCCTCTTCCCACAACCAAAATAAGGACAACAAAAATACAACCAGTACTGACAGAAAATTGAACTGTATGGAAGTCCAACAACCAAGGAGTTAAAATAGACACCTTCTTCCAGACTGGTAGGAGGAGCAGAGTCGGTGACTGGTGGAGAGGGGTCACAGCAAAATGGTGGCTTGTGGACCCCCGGCACACAAGACGGCAGCAGGCAGACCCAGTGAGGCACGCAAGGTGGCTGGCTGACCTGGAGTCACACATTCGTGCTCAGATAAACTAGGCAAAACTGGGGAGTGAGACAGACCATGCAACCCAGGGCCCCAGCACCGGGAAATAAAGCCGCAAAACACCCATTGAAAATACCTGTCGGGGGTTGAGGTGCCAGGAGAGACTCCCAGCCTCACAGGAGAGTTCGTTGGAGAAACCCACAGGGTTCCAGGATGTACACAAACCCACCCACATGGGAATAGCACCAGAAAGACCCAGTTTGCTTGGGGGAAGCGGCAGAAGGGACTGAAATCCAAAAAAGAGAGGAGCAAGTGCCGTTGTTTCCTCTCTGACCCTGCTACCACATATAGCATCACAACCCAGCAACTGGGTTGACCCACCCTAGTGAATACCTAACGCTCCGCCCCTTACTATGTAACAGGTGTGACAAGACAAAAGAAATGTCCCAAACGTAAGACATCAAAGCCCAGAAAAAATACAACTAAGTGACAAAGAAATAGCCAACATATCAGATGCAGTTGAAAGCACTGGTGATCAGGATGCTCACAGAATTGGTTGAATTTGGTCACAAATTAGATGAAAAAACGAAGGCTATGCCAAGTGAAATAAAGGAAAATGTACAGGGAACCAATAGTGATGGGAAGAAAACTAGGACTCAGATCAATGGAGTGGACCAGAAGGAAGAAAGAAACAACCACACAGAAAAAAATGAAGAAAAAAGAATAAAAAAAAAATGAGGATTGGCTTAGGAACCTCCAGGACATCTTTAAATGTTCCAACATCTGAATTACAAGGGTACCAGGAAGGGAAGAGGAAGAGCACCAAGTGGAAAACTTATCTGAACAAATAGTAAAGGAGAATTTCTCCAATCTGGCAAAGGAAATAGACTTCCAGGAAGTCCAGGAAGCTCAGAGAGTCCCAAAGAGGTTGGACCCAAGGAGGAACACACCAAGGCACATCATAATTACATTACCCAAGAATAAAATGAAGGAGAGAATCCTAGAAGCAGCAAGAGATAAGGAGACAGTTACCTACAAAGGAATTCCCATCAGACTGTCAGCTGATTTCTCAAAAGAGACCTTACAGGCAAGAAGGGGCTGAAAAGAAGTATTCCAAATCATGAAAGGCAAGGACCTACATCCCAGATTGTTCTATCCAGCAAAGCTTTCATTTAGCATGGAAGGGCAGATAAAATGCTTCTCAGATAAGGTCAAGTTCAAGGAGTTTATCATCACCAAGCCCTTATTATATGAAATGTTAAAGGGACTTATCTAAGAAAAAGAAGATAAAAAACATGTATAGTCAAATGACAGCAAACTCACAATTATTAACAACCACACCTAAAACAAAAAACAAAAATGAAACTAAGAAAACAAATAGACAGGAACAGAACCACAGAAATGGAGATCACATGGAGGGT